GAAGATCCAGTCCCAAGAAATACAAAGGACCCCAAATAGAATCAACCCAAGAAGATCTTCTCTAAGACACATTATAGCCAGGTTGACCAGAACCACAGACAAAGACAAGATACTAAGATTGGCAAGAGAAAAACATCAAGTGACCTGCAAAAAACATCCCATCAGGCTAACAGCAGATCTCTCATCAAAAACAATGCGAGCGAGGAAAGAATGGAAAAATATATTCAAAGTGTTAAGGGAGAAGCAATTTCAGCCAAGAATACTGTACCCGGCAAGGTTATCTTTCAGGTGGGAAGAAAAAACAAGAACATTCTCAGATAAACAAAATCTGAAAGAATTTACCTATACCAGACCAGATCTCCAAGAAGTTCTGCAGGGAGTGCTATACCAGGAAAATTAAATACAGACACACAGAAATAAGACTTCAAAAATTAAGAAAATGGCCAACTTAATCATGGGGACAATATTATATCCCAGAATTTAATTGGGAAAATTGAACCACAACAGAAGATAAAGTACATGAGATTCACAGGTACATGCACCTACCATGTGAACAGAATTCTAACCTATTTCCTGGCTTTAAGAAAAGTTCCTTAGCATTTCTATGATTTAAGTTAAAACTGGTTTTCTTAATAGTAATGAGTGAACTCATCATTGAAAGTAGTTAGATTATGTAAGAAATTGTGTGATCAATACAAGGTGGGTGGGAAAGGAATGGAAGACAATTGTAGACACCAGAGATGGTGTGAGAAGAGGGTGGGAAAGGACAGAGGGTGAGAAAGAGGGATAAAAATAATTCTAGGAACTAGAAATGGAAAATTTTTATAATATGAATGATTAAGTCACTATGCAATATATACTGGACTTGTGTCCATGGAAATGTATATATCAGCTGTGTTTGCTATGAAAATATTTAGATTAATTAAGGTCTTTAGTAATTCAATACGATGTGGGGGGAAAACAGTATAGAAAGCAAACATAAATAGCAGAGACAGTATGGGAGGAGAGTGGGAGATGGCAGAGGGTAAGAGATAGGGAATCAAGGATGGGGAAAAAAGCAAAACATACAGAAAACAAGAAATGGAAAATTATTTGCTGACAATAACATGTTTGTTGATGTGCTTGATTGAGACAATATACAGTGTACTCTGGATGGAAAATCTCATTTTGTATGCTGTAATGATGTATAGTGAATGAATGCAAATAAATAAATAAATTAATAATAATAATAATAAAATAGATGTCTGGATTTGAGGTCAGATTTCTATTTTTAAATAGACTGGAGAGGAAAATAGGATGCCCATTTCACCAGAATAACTTTGGTCTCTATTGCTCAACTTGAGAGACACAAAGATGTAAGCAGGCATCCTCTTGTTTTGGAGTCCATGAACTGCAGGTTCTATCAGGAACCTGAGTGGCTTGCAAACCAGATGTTTTACTTCTATATGACCCAGGGAGGAACCTTTCTACCCACCTCAACGTGTAGAACAAATTCTGCTGAATTTGTGCCATCTGTGACCTCCAAAGGTATGTCATCCCAAAGAACCTCCGAGCCATCATGTTGATACCTGTGGGGATGATATGTCAGTAATCGTGGGAACGCTGCAAGAGTAAACTGAGATGCAGGACACAAAAACTCTTCAAATGGTTTTGGTCATGTGTTCACTAAATATATAGATAAGAAAAACCAGCATAATCATGAAATCATTTACTTAATTACTCAAGGATCCCTGAAGGTAAAATTGCTCCAGCCTGGAAAAAATGTGTTATATGCATTCATAATTTGTCCCTAAATAAAAAAACAACTCTTGGGACCAGCAGGTGGCCTGGTAGTTAAGGCGCAGGACACTCCCACATGGCTGATCTTGGTTTGAATCCTGGACTCGGTGACTTGCTTTCTTTCCATCTCTGTGTGTGTGTGTGTGTGTGTGTGTGTGTGTGTGTGTCTGTCTATCTGTCTGTCTGTCTGTCTCTGGTCAAATTAAAATAAAATGAATGAATAAATTTTTTTAAAAGGCAACTCTCTAATTGACACTGTGGCAATGGAGATCACGTGGTATTACTCTGCCTACATGCTGAAAACACCAGCTGGAACCAGGAACTGAGCAGTAGGCAGAGAAAAGTGGGATGCTGTGTGGATTTGATCATTTCCCCTCCTTCTCACTTTTAAGACTAATCCTCCTCCCTATGTCTGGATCTATTTATTCAGCTCTGCTCTAAAACTCTGATTTATGAATTATTTTTTGTGTCTCTCCTGTCAATTTCCCTCTTCCATTCACTAGATCTCTTCCTCTCAACCAGTATTCTTGAATCTCTTCCAGATACAAAAGTACTTTTCCTTAGTAGAGCTTGGGCTCTACCTTCCTTTAATTCTTAGCCAAGTTTCTTGAAAGTATTGTCTACTCTAGACTTTCCACATACTCTCCAGCTGCGGCGATACACAGTTAAGTTTCAATAGTCATTGAACTGAATTGGGCCCAATTTCTGGCATATCAATGATCTGTTCAAAATACTACAGAATGGAGACAAGTCCTAGGAGTTGAAAATAATGTTGCATTAAAATAGTTTTGTAATGGTGTAATGGTTAGGTCCCTGGACTCCCACGTAGTTGACCATAGTTTGTGTCCTGTACCTGGCGACTTAAAACTCACGCTGGGTACATGTGTGTACATGTCCAAAATTCTGAGAGGAGAATGGAGGAGAAGTGATTGCGGCATGGCCATCCCCCCGAAGGGTGATATTCTGCTTTCTGGCTCTCTGTCTCTTTGGCAATTGCACACACCCTATAGCAAAAAAAAATCTCTCTCTCTAAAAAAAAAAAGACAGTAGTATTATGCATGAACCTGCGTAATACTGGTTCATCAGAAAAGTCACGACACATTTTTGCATAGACAAGTATGTCATGCATGACTTTTCCGACAACCCAATATTTGCCTATGGGAAAAAAATCAGGACTACAAGATACTTACTGAAGCCTACTCTTATCCATAGGTTAGCAGCACAAGTTTGAGATTCCATTCCAATGTTGGGGAAGGCCATATTTCTCTATCCCCCTTTTGCCTCCTAAGCACTACTTTCTAGGCTATTTTTCACCATGTTTGCTGCCATTTTCAAGGGTAGATTGCTGACTGATAAGGTGTTAATCCTGTTCTACTACACTAATACCACTACAAGGTCAAGTGGGTGTAAGAGTACACATGCACAGGCATAGCTGTGGAGTCAAGGTCTTCTTTCAAAACCTGAACTCCTCCACAATGACAGCTAAGTGACTTTGGGTAAATTCTTTAACATCTTTGTGCTTAGTTCCTCAAGTATAAGAAGAGACCCATCAACCTTGTCAGGCTTGATTACTGTGAAGATGAAATGAAAAAACAAAACCAAAAAACAACATAATTGCAAATTTCTAGCAGAGTGCTTGAACATATAATCTTGGCAAATACTGGCACTTTTTGCCTCCTATCTATCACTTACTATCCAGTAAAAATGACCTAAGTGGTACTAGCTTTCTAACATGTAGCTGAAAGCTGAGATCTCAGAAAAAAGAGGGGGGATTTTAATGGCAATAGGAATAGTGAAACGAGGTCAGGATACTGACAACTGTAAATCAGTGATGTGACTAAACTGTCAATATTCAACTGATTTGTGCACAAATCTTAGTTTTTAGTCAACTTCCCAATCAAGTGTAGAACCAGCCATTGATGCCTGATATCTCCCACAACACTTTATCAAAAGGGCTAGAGTTCCCATTTATAACTTGAATTTGTAAGTAAGAAATTAGTCATCTAACTGACTACTGCTTTTGAGGAGCTGTATTCTTTTCCAGAGTTGTAGAAAAGTTTCTTGAGAAATCGTAGAGGAAATAAAAGGAAATTAAGGTGGGCCAGCAGGTGGCATGGTGGTTAAGGCACTGGACTTGTATATGAGCAACTGTAGTTCAAGTCCCAGAACTGATGGCTTGCTTTCACACTTTCCCTTTCTCTCTCTCTCTGGTGAGCACACATGTGCTATATCAAATTAAAAATAATATTAATAATAAATTATTCTTAAAAAAAAAGACCTTGAGGCAAAGGGAACTACTGTAGGACCACAGGGAGTGCTCTATCCCACTTTGGCAAAGACCCAAGTACTCTATGGCCTACCAACCAAGCCTACTCTATTCCTTCATTTGTAAATTCCTACCCCAATAGAATGGAATAAAAGATTACACTAAAGATATTAATCAATGGAATTCTATCCCAGAATATTACAGGTTATAAAATTAGCTTTTCTTAGAGCCATGTTCAATTATGTAGATTAGTCTTACAGATTGTTTTAGTTTCTACACATTTAGTTTATTATCTCCTATGATATGTGCAGTTGCAGCAAATTTAATATTTGTGGTAATTGATTTTTGTTGTTTAAACTTCTATAAAATCACCCCCAAAGGTATAGCAAGCCAGAGGGAAAGAAAATATCTGGAGATAAATGAAAAATGTGTCGTTTCTCATTTTCAACTGACCCTTGAACGTGGCATGTCGGTATCCCTAAAAGAACTGGACAAACTTTTCTCCTTACTCTGCCTCATAGTTGATCCAACTGGGGATCCAAGAAAGAAAGAATGCCATGAAAAGTTCTAACCTAACTTTTAAGGTATGGAGATCTCTCCAAGAAAATGTGCCTCCAGTGTTTAGCGGAAATCCGTTCAGTTCCACCCTTCCATGCGGAGGCAGTCCCTGCAGGTAGAGGTAGATATTGTCCAGTGTGGTATCCACATCGGAAACCAGAATGTGCTCTGTGGTGATGATGCACTGACCTCCTTCAGTCACCTTCAGAGGGCTGGTGAGTACCTAGAAGAGAAGGACAGAAACACTGAAAACTTTATTCCATGAGGTACCCCTGAAGACGGAGCTCATTAAATCACTATCCAACTTCCCATATCATCCTCCCTGTTGATTCATTTTTCAACATGGTGTTAAGGAGTAAGTAAGCTCATGGCTGGAAATTTTTACTAAAAAATATTTTTTACTAAATATTTCCAATTCTAAGTGTTGCTGTCCAGAGGACAAAGGTACATTTATACACCCAAAAGTATCTACGCGTCCTTGATCTGAGAGCCTAAATAGTGAAATCAGCAATCAAGTCTGTTATTATCTGTGGTGCTAAGTTGAAGAAACAATAACTTTCCTCAACATGTCCACTACATCAGTCTTCAACACGCATATACCTCAACCTACAAACTAAGCAAAACCTATGTTAAATTCCCGTGAAGGAAAAGATATGCCACCTTTCTCATTCTAAAAATTCTTAAAGACTTGGGAATTTGGTTGATACTTTTAAGCTTCAGTTATAGTATGAACTTTAGAAATGGAAAGAGAGCAGGGGAATTGGAGACTGGACATTTAAGACTCTGCAGGAACGAGACTTATTCAAACACTAATACTGAAGTCAAATAAAATGTTCTATAATAGAAAAACTACTGCTAAACCGACTAATAATTCATTTGTGATTAAGAAGCAAGTTAGAAGCCCAGCTCTCTGGGCATTTCGCATCAGGGAGCCACTCCAGTGGCTGGTTTTGCTACAGATTTGATTTGATTTCTATTATTCCCTGTTCTTAAAGGAGTTATTTCATTTGTCCCATATATTGTTAAAAAAGAGAGAGAATCTACTATGCTATGTTAGCCTCAAGTCCTCATAACTATTCAACCTGCTTTCGGCTGAAGGTAACTTTTTACATTATCCTTGTTAGTTTCCTCCTCAGATCATTCTTCTCTACCAAGAGGCTTGAAATACTTTGCATACAATAATATTTCTCCATGATTATTCAGAAAAAGCTTTGTATTCTTTAGATGCTAGGCATAGAAAAGAATGGTCTGAATAAAATCTAATCAAGTTAGCTCCACAGGCATCCTCAACTATTTTCACCACAGGGAATATGCTCTGGTCCCTAATAAAAGAGGTTTCAAAGAATGACGCTCACAGATTCCCCTGTCACATCATCTACCAACCATTATAAGCTCTCAGGCCTGAGGGGTCAAGCCAGTGAAAAGAAGAGTGTTATCAGTTGAGTGGGGACTCAGGTGAGCTGGAGAGCACACCCTAGCCAACAGCTGCCACGGGGTATGCGAACTCTGTATTAGCAGAACTTCTAAAATTCCAAGAGAATCCAGAAATCAAACTTGATAAGAAATCTCCTAGTCTTTTCTATTCTTTTTTTTTTTTTTTTTTTTTAGTCTATTTACTTTATTTAGAGAGCATGCATGCACACATGGTGGGGGGAAAGCTGAGTACCTTGATGTTTCTCGTCATACCTTCATCCCTCTCCCCAGCCCTCCAACTCATCAGGATCTTGGACTCATGTGCTGTGCCTGGGACATTTTCAAGCCAATCTGGGGATCCAAATCCACAGTTGACTATGTGGCTTCCAACACTGCAGTTCACTTTGCTACCAACTGTGCCACCAGGCTAGGCCTCCACTTCTCTTGAAGTACATTAATAGGTGAGGAATGACCGGCCACTAGTGCTGGCTATCTTCCATGTGAGTAACTGGAAAGGTGACCTCTTCCCTCAGGAATGAAGCACGTGTAAGCTTTAGTCCCCTCTGCTTCATAATGACTGGGTTGTGTTATGTCATCCTACCACTTTTAGGGCATAAAATGAGTCTAGTAATAGTCACATAAAATCTGACAGTCTGAAGGGAAAGGGGTGGACAGGTAGGGAGCAAATTCTCAATATGAAACTCAGTCTTGTAGCTAAGATACACAAGGTAGCTTCACATTGGCAGTTCAGTTTTAATGAAAGACCCAAGTCTTTTAAGGTTTATTTAAACATTGGGCAGTAGAACAGGGTAGGATGAAAAAGCCTATTTTAATTGACTTGAGAAAATTAAAGAGCTTCTTTAGATTACAAAGCAGCGTAGGTGGCCTGTGGGGAGAGCAAATAAGCCCTTCTGGTTGCTAAGAGACCCATAATTTAATCCTCTTCCCCTGATCAACACATGAAACTCAACCAAAAAGAATGGAAATGAAAGAGATTTTGATAAAGCTTTAAAAATAATGCCAAATTCAGCAACTGGAAAATCTCACCTTTTAGACAGAAAGTCCCATGGGAGGTGAAGGACTCCCCTCCCCCTGCTTTTTTCCTATATTGTAGCTGGAAAATAAAAAGATCTTTAAAAGAGCCTAAAGAAAAGTTATTATTTCCAGCCAAGTCTTTGGTCTCTTCCCTTCCCTTTCATCCTCACATCATACAACGTGCATACCTCGGGAATGTGGTTGTCCACTGGGAGAATTGTAATGTTAAAGCAGATCCCATGCAAGGTGCTGCCATGTTGGTTACTGATGGAAAATGTGAACTGGACGTGTCGAAGCTGGGGGCCGATATCTTGCATAGGCGGCATGTAGGCCACTTTCATATGGTTGACAGCATGCTGCAAAGCAAATTGAGATGCGCAGGAGGATATTAATTAGCAAAGATCAGAAACTTTCGGAAACGGAGGTTCAAGATAACCCCGTGTTAACTGATCGCGAACATTGTAAATACCACCATCATCAATCTGAAGAGTCCCAAAAGTTCTAAACTGTAAATCACATTTTCTATACAACAGGAGGGAAAAGGACAATAAAATTAAGTGAAAAGGTGAATATGCCAAGTGCTTGAAGCTGTCTGACTCTGTGAAAGACAGGAGACTTGTGTGTCAACCTCATTCTACCATATCATAGCTGTGGGATATGGGTCAAGCTACTTAAACTGCTAGGCCACTTTCCATATCTGTAAAATGAATGAAGTAATTGTCCTTATCATATGGGGTTCACATATTCATGTATAGCCTGTACTTACCTCAAAACTGGGCAGACCTAAACCTAGGCCCCAGAGGTATCTGCTGCCTAAGCAACACCACTGCTGTGACCCCCATCAGGTCTGCTGGGACAGTGCACAGAGGTAGACAGAGGACTGGGGAAGGATCGGGGAAGGTAATAAGTGTTATGGGTTGTGTTCCCCCTAAAGGTCTATGAAAAATCTTAATCCTTTCTACCTCAGAATGTGACTTTATTTGGAAATAGAGTGATTGCAAATGCAATTTTTTAAGATGGAGGTCATTCTAGAATAAGGTAATCCCTTAATTCAGTATGACTGATGTCCTTATCAAAAGAGGAAAGAACCACACGGGGAGAGGACAGCCACGTAATGACAGAGGTATGGTTTGGTGTGATGCACCTACAAGACAAGGCATGCCAACAATTGCTGGCCAATTACCAGACGCTAGAAAGAAGCATGCAAGGACTCCCCCACGGGGTTTCAGAAGGAGTATGGCCCTTCAGACATTTTTATTTCAGCCTCTAAAACTATGAGACAATAAAACTTTGTTGCCTTAAGCCACCCAGTTTGTGGAATTTTGTTAATGCAGCCCTCGGAAACTAGTATAAGATACTGAGTGAACTGAATTTGGTGGAGTGATAAGGTACAACCCCCAGGTCCCTGAATCAGAGTCCTGCTGCTGGCAAAACAATGCAAAAGGCTGTATTGGATTATAACAAGATGAATAAATCATACCCCACTTAATAAAGTACTTTCAGGTAGATGTCACATGCTTCATGGAAATATGAAAGCATAGAGAATAAAGACATCACGCATTTGTGGCAGATGTTTAAGGCCAACAGTCCAGGTACGGCAGCAAGAGTATGCCACATTGTCTCAGAGGACAGTTACATCGCGTTGTCAACATTTTAGTACAATACCTGAGTGAAAGACCTCAGCCCCAGAGCCGTAGGAGTCTTGGTTAGCTTTGGTATGCTGTCCACCATAAACAATTTCCCAGCATCCAAATATCTGAAGAAAATACAGGAAACTACATTAGTTAATTGCCTAAGTAAGAAAAATTAAATCCAATAGCTCACAATTAAATTTTCAAAAACTGAAACACCTCATCATGGGAAAAAAGAATCAGATGCTCTATTTTTATATTCTCTCACGTTTTTTATAAAGAGATATTTGCTATAGGGCACGGGTGCTTGCTGGAGAAACAGAGACAGGGAGGAAAAAGGTGAGAAAACACACCCCCTATGGGTGATGGCTGTGCCATAATCCCTTCTCCTCCATTCTCCTCTCCAGATTTTGGGCATGCACATACACATGCCTGGCCTGAGTTTCAAGCTGCAGGATCTGGGACTTGGACTGTGGTTGGCCATGTGGGAGTCAAGTGCCTTAACCACTATGCCACCTGCTGGCCCCTATATTCTCTCTTTATGACAGAGGATTCTAGCCTAAGTCCAGCATCATTAATGCCATTCTTATCATGACTGAAAAAAAAAAAAGAATATACAGAATTTTCTGCTTCGACATCATAAAGGGGAACCATCATTATCATCCCAAGGATGTTTCTTTGTTGTTATGTACATGACACGAGCCTAAAGTATATACCACCTTTCCAGACTGAGACCATATAGAATATGATCATTCTGTGGCCTGTAATACCTAAAAATAGTGTAATTAAAATGTATAAGCTTGAGATAAAAGTAAATGCTGAATTGAGTAGAAGTGTATGTCTGATCAATGAAGCAATGGGACCACAGTACTATATACTGATATTTTCAACTCCAACCCTAAAACGAATAGCCCAAGTGATGACTTTTCAAAGATACCTGTGGCTGAAGGAGAAAAATGGAGGCGTCGTAATTGTGTAAAGCAGCTCCCTGTCATATGATTCTGTATCTATAAAATGTAGATGTTTCTTAGTTATGTAGGCCACCTCAGTTTCCTTGACAACCAAATGCCGAGAAACTCCTGGAGCCTCTTTTGGAAGCTGGTCATTGACCGGAGTGATATGGATTATCGCCACCTGGAATGAAAACAGCTGTACCATTAACGTGAAATATCAAGAAATCATCTAATCACAGTTAAGATGATTTTCAAAAACAGTCATCCATAATAGACTTCTGTTGAAATGACTCAGGGGCTTCAAGGCAACTTCAAAACATGTATGGAAAACTGGAACTAAAGTACAACTTTATTTTGGTGCAAAAATAGTTTGATATCCATGCATAGTGTTTTCATAATACACATTTTTCATGAGTTTTTTGAGGATTTCTCATATTAAGGAGTTTAGCTCAAAATGGAGCATTCTTTACCTATTTGATGTTATATTTTAAGAATATAATTGTGACAATTATAGTTAGTCCAATCCTGCGTGCTATCACTTGAGCACATGAAACACAAAATGTGTCTCTAGTCTTATTTTCGTATCTCCCTTCCACTAACAACTTGTGCTTTGCTTGATATTTTCCTCCACTCAATCATCAGGCCTAGAAAACTTGATAGAACTTTTGGTTCCTCCTTCTCCACCCCCGTATACCACATCACCAAGTGCAGGGCTTCCACTTGTAAAATTTCCTGTCAGCGAACACACCTTACATCCTACCCTCGGTGCCATTTCAGCTGCTACAGGCCACTCATAACTTCTTCTCTTCACAGTTTAAATAGAGTCTATTTTCAGACTTTCTCTTTAACTACCCAACATTAACCCAGCACTATAGTTACACCCAAAGGACTGTACCTAGTCCTGTACACTTCTGTACTTTGGATCATGTTGTTTCTTCAATCTGGAATGCTAGTCTCCTGTTTTCTCTAGCAATCAGTCTTCCTCAGATTTCTTAAAGGCTCTTCTTGAAGTATGCTCTGATTTTTCATCTGGAATTAATTATTTCTGAATTTTGTTCACCCCTTGCTATGGGTTTAATAATTGTGTTCCTTCTAAAGCTTAGGCTGAAACTTAATCCCCAAAGCAATGGTATTAAGAGGTGAGGTCTTTAGGAAATAATTACATCATGAGAGCTCTGCCCTTATGAATAGTGCCTTATAGCGGGTCTTGAAGCGGCGAGTTCACTCTTTATCCCTTCTACTATGTGGAGACACAGTATCTCCTCCTGAGGATGCAGCAGTAAGGCACCTCATTAGATGTTAAGACTGCCAGCACCTTAATCTTGGACTTCCCAGCCTCCAACACTGTGAAGTGAAGTTTTATTATTTAAAAGTTACCCAGTTTTGAATATTTTGTTATAGTGTCACAAATGGACTAAGACATTCTCAACCAATATATTATTTCATTGTCTTATGATATTAATTTGCTTGTCAGCCTCTCTCCTAAACTGAAAGTTTCTTAAGATCATGATAGAGAGCAAACCATGTGGAATTTTAAAGTAAACAGTAAACTCTGTGTGCTACTTACTAGCAGCTATTTGCTCTTGAACAAATGAGTCACCTTTTTTGAATGTCAATTTCCTTACTGGTAAGTTTGTAAGCTAAGCTTAACACTAACAACCTCACAGAGTTGTTGAAGGAATCAAATATCACTGTAAGTAACATGACTGGCACATAGTATGTGCTAAAAAATAATTTAAACATAAATATATATACATGTCTTTAATAATATATATCTTTAATAATATATTTATATATATATATATATTTCATATCTGACATGATATTTTGTGAAGGAGACACTTTATCAATGTTTGTTAACTAAATGAGCCAACATTCCCTCAAGAAATAGTCAAAATTCCCTTTAAGAAATCCTATGTGATCTTTAGATCATGCCAGAGGATAATGGGTGTTTGCTCACATCAGTATTGTTTTTTTACAATAATCTGTAATTACTTACCAGAAAAGCTGTTATGTACTTTATCTGGCAATGGAACAGTTTCGGGGCATCATGGGTTTTTGCTTGGTCTGTTGTGTAAAAGTATGCTTACTCTGGTTTTGATTTATTTTGACATTGCCACCAAAACAGAGATCAGCAATGTCAACGTCTACAACAACGGTGTTCACAATACTCAATTTGAAAATGAAAAGAATTCCCTTTTAATTTGACATACAAAGCAAAAACTAAAATGGGTGAAGTTTTTGCTATAACATAAAAAAAGACTGGAACATCAGCTTGCTCCCTACAAGCTATGCTCCCTAGGGCAGATCATTTGCCCCCTTTGAGGCTCATTGTTTTTTAGTCTATGCAATTGGGAATAAAAACAATGGTAGGGCCAGCAGGTGGCATAATGATTAAGGTGCTGGACTGCCACATGGCCAATTGTGGTTCAAGTTCTGGACCAGGTGACTTGAAACTCATACTGGATACAGGTGCATGCAAGCCCAAAATCTCTAGAGGAGAGTAAAGGAGAAGGAATTGAAGCATGGCCATACCCCTTGGGGGTTGGTAATGGTTTCTCTCTTTATGTATCTCTATCTCTCTCCATCTCTACAACAAGTGCATGCACCTTATAGCAAAAATCTCTCTCAAAAAGAAAGAAAGAAAAAAATTGGCTATTATGCTGAACTATTCTCAGGATCAAACAGGACAGTTTGTAGCACAATGAGTACCCAGTACTTAGTAGGTGCTCAATAAATTAATTCTTTGTCTCTATCCTTTCATTACTTTTACAAAAGCTTACAGCATGTTTACTATTCATTATGAAGTATTTCAATAATTAAAAACGAAAGCCAGTTATTAAAATAAAGGAACACAATGACAGTCATTTCTCTAGTTTCCTGGAATCTGTGTCATGATTTTTTTTCCCAATTAGAGTATTTTGCTAATCTATGAAGTTCAGAAATTCTCTATGGGACCTCTCAGCTCTAGTGTGGATCAGTGAGGCTCCACTTAATTGAAAAACTGGATTTAATAAGGAAACAATAGTTATTGTGCCTTCAAAGAGACCATTTTCCATGCTAATTTATTCTCCAATGTGTTCTTTGTGTAAAAAGAATGTATAAGAATGCTTTTTATACCCCTGTAGTAATTCTTGGTGGGCACATTTTTCAACATACTTTATGATTAACGAAGTTGATGTGTCTTTACATATTTACTTATGTTCAAACAATTACCATGCACATGTCTGAGGGTGAATAAAATCCTATTTTAGCAAACTCCACTGAGAAATAAAGCATTCCCAATGTACTGAAATATGGTTGTAAAAAAGGCATTATTAAACACCCATTTCCAAGCAGTTCCTTGCCTGCTTACTCTAAGACTCTCTAGTCTACTATGGCCACAAATACCCACAGACTTGTAAAAAATCAGAATACAAAATGATAAACCAGTACACAAAAGGACAAAGGCTGATTTGACCCTCAGATTCAGGCTCACAGTGTGATACTCTACCAGCTGGTATCTGACTTTCTCTTAGTTCTGAGTTCTTGCTCCTTCCACTTCCTGAGCTCTGATTCCTTCCTCTTCATTATTTTACATCTTCTTTTGAGACTATCCACTATTTCTCACCCCCAGGAACCATTTCCAATGTTAGCTCTGGCCACCCTGTTGTCTGCTCTGACTTGTAAGAAATGTGCACCTCAGGGTACCTGTTCCCTCACCTGCTCACCTTTCGTCCGTCCCTTCCACATCCCACACAAAACCTCTGAAGTATCTGCTTCCTTTCTTTCTGTTTTCCAGGCTACTTTCCCGTTTACTTCTAATATTACTCTCTTCTGGTTTAAGGTCTCTTAAGAAGTATACTCTGTAAATTGCTCAACCAACTAGGATGAAAAGGAAATATTTTTCAAAACAAATTGAGTGAACAGGCTTTATTAGATGATAGTCACTGCAGCTGAAACAGAAAGAGAAGATTCTGGCAGACATCAAGGTGCCTTGTTGATCTGTAAGTAGATTTCTTAGGAGGAGTATTCAATTTGTGAAGGATGAGGGGAGAAAGGGGCATCTCCAGCTTATGCAACCTCCTTCTTGCTTTAATTAGATTCTCAACTAAGGAGAATTCTGCCTTAAAGAAAGTGTCTTTTTTTTTTTAAGAGATATTTTTGCTATAGGATGCATGCACTCACTGGAGAGACAGACAGACAGAAAACAAGAAATTATCCCCCAGGGGTGGGATGGTTTAAATATGAGCAAGTCAGTCAGAACTCTGTAATAATCCCTCTCAGGATTTGGGGTACACACGCACACGTTTTAAGCTGCTGGATCCAGGACTTGAACTGCAGTCGACTATGTGGGAGTCCAGTGACTTAAACATTACACCATCTGCTGGCCCTGGAGAAAGTATTCTAACAATACAACTTACATATTCTTGGGCCTGGGTTTAATCTTTATTCACTGTGAAACGTTCTGATCACAAAAGCAACCAGTAAATACTCTCCTTATCTTGACTTCCAATGAATCTGAAGTTTGCAGGTTTTATTGAATATTTTAAATATAATGTTATTGTAAGGTATTACTAGATACTTGTCAAAGTTGAGGATACAGTCCTCAAATGGACTAGATAACCAAATGAATCCCTTAAAAATTGGAGTTGACCACAGTTCGAGTCCCAGACCCGGTGGCTTAAACTCATGCCAGATGTGTGTACATGCATGCCCAGGATCCTGAAAGAAGAATGGAAGAGAAGGGGCTGCAGCGTGGCCATACCCCCTGGTAGGTGATTTCTCACTTTCTGTCTCTCTGTCTTTCTGGTGAGCGCACGTGCCCTATAGCAAAAACCTCTTCAAAATAAAAAAAAAATTGTCAATTTGAATAATCAAATCAACTAAGATCTTGAGCAAAAATTCAATCTAGAAATGATAGATTGATTAAAAGAGGGGAATGTCAGGACCAGCAGATGACATAATAGTGATGTTGCAGGACCCCCACTGTAGTCTACTGAAGTTTGAGTCCTGGACTCAGCAGCTTAAAACTAACGCCAGGCATATGTGCCTGCGTGCCCAAAATCCTGAGAGGAGATGGGAGGAGAAGGGATTGTGACATGGCCATCCCCCTTGGGGTGATTTCTTGCTTTCTATCTCTCAGTCTCTCTTTCTCACCAGTGAGCACGCATGCCCTATAGCAAAAACCTCTCTTAAAAAAATAAAAAAGAGGGGGGACTTTCATTTGTAAAGCAATTGACTTGTTAACCAAAAAGCAGACTGAGAGTTCTCTCATTTGTTTCCATCCCCTCTGAATAGGGTTTGTCTACTTCCTTTGGTTTCTGAGCTCTCTGAACCATTCTTTCTGATGATGAGATTTATTTGCCTCTGCACATATGTTACCTTCCGAGATAACAGGTATAATATGCCTAGCAATAAGTACTCTGCCTAGTAGGTGCTATAGTTTATAAATACTGGTTTGTCTCCCAAGAGTTCATGTGGCATAATTTAGTCCCTAATATAATGTCATTGAGAGGTCGTGAGACCTTTAAGAAGACCTGCCTTCAACACAGGCAGGCACTTTGACGGATGAGATCGCATGTGAGTCAATGGACTGTGAGGAAGAGTCACCTTCAATGTGAGTAGACACCATCCAATCAGCTGAAGTGTGGAAGGACAAACAGAAAGTAGAAAATCTGTCTTCTGCATTTTCTTTTCTCTCTCTCTCTTT